TCATAATGAAATACCTTTAATTTGGGGGCGCAGAACAAGATGGACGGAGCAGGCGCTAACTCTTCTCAATCAGGGGGACGGTAGGGCAGCTGGCTGAGAAATGTCTGTTTTAATTAAAGCGTCCTGTAACTCACAGGTTTCTGCCATTGAAAAATCAAAAAGGCACGGCCGGCCAGCAAAGACCGACGGACAGACCGCCCCGCCCCAGCCGCCCACTGCCCAGGTGTTCACTTACGCAACGCCTCGCGGCAGCCGCGCGCCCCCCGCCCGTCCCGACGCGCGGCGGCAGCTGGCGCGGGCAGGCCTGGCGGTCCCGGAGCCCGCGGACGGAGCCGGCGCTGCCTGGAGGGGCTGCTGGCGTCAGGGTGGGCCGGCGCTGCGGCCGGGCGAGGGCAGCGCGCCGCCTTCCTGCCGGCGCCCGCGTTAGTCGGGAGGCAGCTTTTGGAGGACGGGGCGTCCTTCGGCGGCGCTCCGGGCTCACGGCCCCTCCTCCCGCCGTCCCCGCCGCGCCAGCAGCGCGCGCCTCGCGGGTTCGCGCCCCGCTCCCGGCCGGCCCCGCAGGTGGCAATCAAGGGACGCCGGGCTCCAGGGCGCGCCCTCTGCGGGCTGCACGCGAATTTGGGACGATAGAGAGAGAGGTGCCAGGATCACAGATCGCTCGGGCAGGGCGGAACTGGGCTGTGAGAGGGGTAGGTCTAGGCCTTCGTCCTCACGCCCATCCCAATACGCTGCTGCCTCCGCGACGGGAACTAGACCCCAAAAAGTTCAATGGAAGCATAAGCGAGCAAGTCACTTCACTGCCCTGGGTCCTGACCCCTGGCCCCTGGCCCCTCATCTGAGCCACCTGGGCTGCGAACTCTCCTGAGCTAGCTCTGCCCTGGTAAGAGGAGGAGCTGCTCTCCAAGGCCTCCCCACGGGCGGGGCCTGCCTTGGGGACAGCAGGTGCTGGCCGCACGCAGGTGAGCTGCGCAGCCTCCCCGTGCTAAGGGTTCTGGCGCTCCGGGCCAGACTTAGCAGCCAGACCTGCTTTGACCGCAAACCCCACGGTTTGCAGAGTTAGGCCCGGGACTGTGCCCTTCCTAATTAGTTTGCACCACGAGTATACACAGCAAAAGTGCTTGAAGTTCTTAAACATTTAAGGATACATCCATTTTGTACTTTTCGATCCAAAAATACTCAAGAATATTTTTCAAGCTTGTTTCTCCTTGAAACAACATTTCTAAAGACCATTTTCTCACCCTGTAAAGATTGAACATCACTACCTCAAAACATGGCCATTATTCAGTTACACTTCGCCACACATTCCATGTGATGCCTGCATCTGCCCAGCACGATTCCTAGCAATAGTAAAAGTCCCAAGAGAACTACAAAAGAACCATTATGTTCATTGTGTTCTACAATGGATTAGTCAATGCAAAATTCATGCTTGAAGGGACCTTAGTGGTAACTTCGTTTGACTCCTTCTCATTATAGATGAGGCTCAGAGTCCGACTGAAAAAACAAACATGAAAAAGACTGGAACCTAAAAAGCTCACAATCTGTACACTAACATGTGAGACTTCGCTCTCTGAAGGCACAGCATAGTAAGGAATAAACCTAGATTGCAGAGGAATTGAGAAACATAAGATATACAAAATCTAGCTCAGAATCTTTTAGATTTTAAACGAATCAAGCATTCTTATTTTTGACTATGCTAAATTAGCTAAGGTAACTGTTATAAACACAGTAGCCCAGAAATGTAATTTTCCTTCATGCTATTGTGATTAATGGAATTGGAGTGGGTATATTCTGACAGTCATAGACTATGAGTATACTTACATTGATTTGTGCAACAAGTATCAATTTTTAATGCATACAAATTAAACTTAGATAAAACAAATATTAAGCTCTCCATATTTCAGGCATACCATGCTGAATAATTATGCTCAAAGGCAAGGCTCCCCTGTTAGGCCTGATTCTTCACTTATGTCACTTGCTTGCCCTCTACCTTCCCCTGCTTTAAGGCTCCTTAGGAGACCTCTGGGTTCCACACTGAGAGATCCGTGTCAGTCCTTGATGTGCTCTAGGCAGGGGAAACACTTAGAAATATGATGGGTTTTGCTTCCCAATTACCAGGACAGAAGGAAAGACAAAGCAGGTGAGAAATCAGCCTCTGGCTTCCACCAGAAAGAGCAACGCATGTACACACGTGCGTTACTTTCACTCCATTCAAGAACACACCAAGTGTTCTGGGTAGCCTTTGGTCTAGAACAAAGCAGGTGATGGGGGATCTTGGCACACACACTGAGCTGAGCTGTTCCTTCCAGGCCCGGGCTGGACCCTTCCTCCACCACTGTGGGTCTGGGCAAGCCAGCCGGGGAGGCCCAGGTCAGGTCTGGCAGGGTGGCTGAGGGAGGGTGTCTGGGGCCACCGCCACCTGCCCTCATGGGTGCAGGCTGCAAAGAGTGGAGACTGACTACCACCCTTCTGGGGCAGCCCTCTCCCCTCTCTGCAGGGCCTCCCTCAGGACCAGGAGAGTCTGAGCCACTCCTCGATAGCTGGGCCACAAGAAGGGCCTTGGTCTCTCTCCTCAGGACTGCAGGCCGCTCCCTGGTTGAGATGGTGCCATGCTAAGACCTGGAGGGAAGATGCCTTGAGGAAGCGTGGCGCCTTCTGCTGCTGAGTTCCAAAAGGCTGGCTCTCCTCATAGCCACCCCAGCTTACAGCTGGGAGTCAGGGCCAGCATGTCTGCCTTCCTGCCATTCCCTCACCTGGGCTTGAACGTGGATGCAGAGGTGGGAACCCAGAGCTGCTCAAACTGGTGGTGGCAGAGACCTCTACAGTAGGATTTTGAGAGAGTGACGAATACAACTTTTCAAAAGCAAGAAGGAAGTGAGAGAGAGGAGGAAGGCCCCCGGAGATGGCCTGAGGTGAATGTGGTTAGGGTGGGGTTCCTGAACTATGGTTTTCTTTTTGCCAGAAGGTTATAGAAAGTAAAAATAGTAATGAAAAAAATACTGGAATTTGAACATAAATTATCTTACTCCAAAGCCCATGCTGTTGATAGGAAAGAAGTATTGAACTGGATTGAGGATTATATGCCAAATAATAAACTTGCAATTAATAGAATTAAATCTAGACACCCACATACCCTTTGCCCTGTAAAGAATTCCCATTTCTACCCGGAGGCCCATAAAACTTCCACTCATGACAGACCAGAGAGGTAGACAGCAAGCTCCCTTCGCTGGTTCTCTACTTAAACAACAAGCACCTTTAACTTCCATTTTGCTTCAGGCAGGCCGGTCAGACCTTGCACCTCTGGGAGAAGCAAAGGAGGTTATGCCAGCGAGGCAGAAGGAACCTCCTCTCTAAAAGAGCTCTAAGTAGTGAAATGCTGTGACCCTGTCAGAAGGGATCTGGGCCCTGGACTCATTTGTCTGCCACTGGGGCTCTTACTAGCATATCAGAGAATCAAATGTCTCCATTTGCTTTCTGATCATGAAGTGGTGAGGACTGGATAGGTAGACGGAATGATTTGTGCGTGTTCATTTACATGGAGGCTATGGCATACTGTGCACTAGAGAGGGGTATAAAATTACAGAAAAGACTTAGAATAGAAAATGTTGCTTACTATCCACCCACTCCCACCCTCAGAAAATACCTCAGGTTATAAAAAAGAAGCCAAAGCCAAATGGGCAGGTAGAGGAAAATTTAAATATTACCAAGATAAACTACTGAGGAGGCAGAAAAAAATACACTGTGGGTTATGAACCCTGATGGAATAGCACATAGGTATGACCTATGAGAAAACCCGTTTTAATCTCCTCATTTCCCATATAATAGTCCACTGGTCTAAGGAAAAAGAAAACTCTTAGTGGTTATTGGAAAACATGGCTATTTCTTACATATATTCTCACTGATCCAGGTTTTGAGTACTATTTTTTATATAGTCAAACTAAAATGGTCTCTCCAAAACAGTGAACTTAATCTTGTATGTGCTAAGGTTTTATTTGGATTTGGCTGAGAGACCTAGATATCTTCTCTGAGTAGGTGACAGACACATTTTTGTGTCAGGCTTGAGACTAGGGTTTTAGGATGCAAAGCTTTAAAAATCAGAAGCAGAAATGATGTATTGATTCTTTAACACTTTCTGTAGCCCAAAACACCTAAAATGCTTCTTCATTAAGAACTAGCTATGGGTATGAAAATGGTCTTATCCTTTGCTTCTGAGATGACCCTTCTGTGCCACTCCCAGTTGCTCCGATGCCCTAGCAAGCTTCAAATCCTTGTTGCAAACCTTAACCACACTGTGTGGAGACCTTAACCACACCTTAACCACCTCTTTTGTTTAACACTTTCCCAGAATCAAAGAGCAAATCTTCAGATTATCTAACCAGCCAAACAGATGAAAATGTAAATTTACCAGGACGGCTTCTGTTGTTGTCCATTTTGTTCTGCTATCACAGAATATCTGAGAGTGGATAATTTATAAAGAACAGAAATTTAACTTCTGGAGCCTGAAAAGTGCAAGATCAAGGCACCAGCAGGTCCAGCTGTCTGCTAGGGCTGCACCCTCTGCAGGGGAGGGCGGCTGTATGCTCGCGTGCAGAAGAGAGGAAGACGGCACGCTAGCTGGGTGCTGCCTGATGCCTCTTTTAAAAGGGTCTTAATCCCATTAGTGAGGGAGCAGCCCTAATGGCCTCATCACCTCTTAAAGGCCCTCCCTCTTAATGCTATCACATTGGCAACACCTGAATTTTAAAGGGTACATTCAAACCATAGCAGTTTTCCATTATAATATTTTAAAGTATATCATGCTATGTTTAAAAGTTCTTATGTCCAAACTCAAATTTCTAAATTGTACTTGAGGCCATTCTAGTCTTATTTATCATGTCACTGAAATGAGAAATGATCAATATTATCTTCCTTATGTGAAAGACAAGAGTCAAATTGCCCCTCAAACCTTTTTGTTCCTGAGGAAAAACATTTAATTTTTTCCTCACAGAATTTCTTTTACTCACATTTATCATGCTTCTTTAGACCCATTCTGGTTCTCCAAATGTAATTAAATGTCTCACGACCCAAACTGGGGAAAATTTCCAAATGAGAGTTTAATTAATGCAGAACATTAGAGTATTTTGCAACAATATCTCCAGACCACATATCCAATCTGCTCATTAGATTAACAACTATATAGGTTGTCAACTATACCATCAGTCTGTTCTCATTTGTTTCATTTTTCCGCATAATTCTTCAGCGTACATTTTTGTGTTAAGTTTTGGTCTTGAAGTTACTGATGTACACGTATCAGTAAATAAGCCTCATCATTTCTATATAAGATCTGTCAAAAGATCTGTATTTTACATTAAAATACATTTTGAAGTCTTTAAGTCACCATTAAAAGACACTATATTTCTGTTGTGTAAGTAAATTTAACAATCTTCAAAGAGGTAGAAATGCCTGGAAATGAATGAGCATCTTATTTGTTGTTATTGGTGTTGTCTATTATGGTTACCTATATTTATTCCCCCACCCTGCACATTCTGAGCATCTTGAGGATAGGAACTATGTACTTTATGTATTTTATGACTCATTTCTAGTACCTGGCATATGGAAGGCTTGAAATGTTTGTTCAGTTGAAGATTATTTCTCTGCTTTGGTGCTTTATAGAATTTAATCTCAGTTTAAACAGAGAAAAACACTACTGCTTAGGCCCATGAGATTCAAGCTTCTATAAATCTTCATCTACATTTATTTTAATAACCATTTTTGGCATTAAAATGGGGCCAACATTTTTTTAAATGCAATGTGAATACAAAATATTGTTAAAAATCAGATAAATACTGCAATAACCATTGCTCTGAAATTTACTATTTCAAATGTCATATTGTATTGAATGTTTTGTTTTCCACTTAGCGCATATGTGCCTTTCGATGTGACTCACTTTCCATTGTCTCATTGCCCTGGTTGTTAAAAACAATCTGTCTCAATTTGATGAAAATAGTTCAGCTTCCCTCTGGAATTATGAATTTTCACATTTTTATTAGCTCATAATTTTAAATTAAAGCCAAATATTTGACTAATATAGCTGTGTAACTAAAGACATTAGGATGTTTATTCTAGAGAAGTTAAGAGGAATTAGAATAGATATCTGAGAGGCATTCATACAGATGAGGTACCACACCTATTCTACATTGCTCTGATGGGGAGTATAGTACCAGAACCAGTGGGGAAAAGTCATGGCAGGAAGTTTTGGATTGAATTAAGCGATTACTGTTTATTGGTCATAACTTACAACAGAATGGATTGGTTTGTGAAATAGTGAATTTCCCCTTTAGCCAGAAGTTAGATTATCTGAGATGTTATAATGAAGATTTCTAAAAAGAATAGTAAAATTCCTCCAAAGCCAAGGTTCTATAATCTTAGGAGGAGTTGTTTTTGTAATAGGAATTCATGTGTGCTTGGCCTCTGGACTACATTCATCCCAGCACGATGGGCATCATCTTGATGTCTTACTGCGTGTGCCCTAAAAGGACAGAGTCCTGCTGTGGTCCTTGGCTAAGGAGGCAGTTTTCAATCTTTTTAAGATTTTTCCTTAGAAAGCATATCAACTGCCAAATGTTGAGTAAATTGGTACTCAAAGAAGAATTCTGGCTAATTCAACATAAGACATTGTCTATCTGTGTAGGAATTCTTATGGCTTGTGATATTTCACTCAACTGTTAACTTCACTTGATGGAGTGGAGAGCTACTCTAGCTTAGAGGTAATGATGATAAGTACTATTTATTGAACATCTACCTACTATGTGCTGGTAACCATAATAACCCTTTACATGCTATCTCATTTAATCTTCACAATAATACTATGAGATATGTATAATTTCTGTTTTAAATATGAGGAAATGGAAAAGATAAGGTAACTGTTAATATGTGGTACAGCTTGAATATGAACCAGGTCTGAGTCCAATGCCAATCTTTCTATTATTCTATGTTGCTTTCCAAACTCTCAGCTGTCTTCACAATGGCTTGTTAAGTCTGGCCCTAGTTCTAGGCAGCGGTCCTCCTATCCAACTCCTAATCCCTTAATTCTTATGGGCAGTACTGAAATTTGGAAAGAAGATGAGTTATTTCCAAAACTGGTGATCCTCTGATGGTAGAATATTTGGCTTGAAGAGGGTGATAAAGTAGTTTGAACAATGATATTTTCTATGGCTTATATATTTCTGAACAAGGACTATCCCATGGACTTTATATTTTCCATCTCACAGGCAGTACCTATATAGAGTCAGCCTCAGAGATAAGGTAATTATAGAGCTATAAGCAAACTAGCCAATAAATGCATAATAGTGGGAGAAGACAGAATATACTATAAAATGCAAATAATAAGGTGTCAATGAGAAGTGGGTGAGTTTTGATCAGGGCCATGAGACAATCATAGCATTTAAATTGTTGAAAGAAGGGAATGAGTGTATATAGCCTATGCTAAAGAACAGGGGTGGCAACGAGCATGGAACACATAGAACACATGTGAACGGAAAGGAAATGAATCTATGAAGAGTATAAGCTAGCAAGACATGGTGCCAAGCTAGGGTGATTTGTTAAGAGAAGTAACAGATACCCACTGAAAGTTCTTAAATTATAAAAATGAAGTAACAAAATTGTTCTTGAATAGATTTAGGATTCATCTGGCAACTGAGCACATGGGTAGAGATTACTGGCACAAACCAGTTGTGCTGCAGAAATCTAGATGAAAAAATATAATGACTTGGCCTACTAAAATGCCTGAAAAAATAAAAAATAATTCAAAGATGTTGTTTTTTTTCCCAGCAATTTATTTTTCCCCCATAAACTTAGTCTACCTGTGGTTATTCTTGCCACCAACTACCAGGATCTGAAGTTCTTAAAACGTAATGGAACCACTGTCCATTGAGTTTAAGTATTTCAAATAACAGGAAATTTCTTCTGGCCAAAAAAAAAAAAGAAGTGTTGACCAATTATATCTTTATAGAGTGAAGTTGAAGAAAAATGGAATCACCTCAGTTTGCTCAGTAAAGTAAGGCAAGGTTATTAGCTGAGTCTGAGGGAACTAAGAATTTAAGAGAAAGGCTTATATTTTTAGAACTTTTAAAATTTTTACAATGAATATTGAATATATTTGTAATCAGAAGAAATACAAAGTAATTTTCATTTTGAAAAGTTGAATATAAAATATTAGAATCCCTCTAAGAAAACATGATTATTTTAAGGATTCCTTGGATGGGAATTGGCTACCAGTACAGTTTTACCACTTCTTTTGGCCTCATTTTCAGGCAGGCCTTCCTTTACTGTCAGTAAAAATAAACAGCATGAGAAGTTTACTGTGTTTGCCATTTTCCTATTTTATTCGCATTTTGTAATAAAGAATGGAATTATTGGTGCAAGAGGCAATTTATGGATAATCTGTGCTCCAAATAAAAGCAGGTAAGTTGCTTGAAATCCTGTGATTGGCTTCTCAGAGGTCCTCCTAAGAACTAGAATGTACTTTCCAGTTTTGAACTAAGTGACCATCTCAATTTAAAAGGACTATCCTCCAATTAAAGACTAAAGGCTAGGGAGCCTCTAGTGTTCGGACCTTGGACCTTTTCTACATCCTGTAAATCACAGAGAGTGTTAATTAATCACTGTGCTCTCAGTGAAACTGAGAAGGTCAGGCCCTATCTTCCACATCTGTTAGCCTGCCTCATGCTCCTAGTGAGAGAGTCCCTCACGTTCAAACCTCCTCGCCAGCCTGCACTGCAGGAGACAGAAGATAATGCAGGAATGCTGCACTTTTCATGTATTAGGTAGTATCCAAACCTGCTGAACTTTCAATAATTCTAATTGTTCATCTGTAAATTATTTTGGATTTTCTATGTAGACAGTCATGTCCAGTCTGAATAAATGTTTTTTTCTTTCTCATCCTTATAACATTTATTTTTCTTGTTTTTTTTGGTGGCTATAACTGAATACAATAGTGGCATTCTTTTAGTTCCTGATTTTAAAGGGAATGTTCCTATGTTTTACAATGTTTGCTGTAGGATTTGGCAGTTAAAACAGAATCAGATTAAGGAAGCTCCATTCTATTTCTAGTTTTCTAAGCGATTTTTTCATGAATGGGTGATGCATTTTTTTATTTCATAATATTATGGGGGTACAAATATTGTTAAGGCTACATATACAGCCCTTCCTTCCCCCCACACCGAGTCAGAGCTTCTAGCGCATTCATGGTGATACATTTTTTTTAAATGCTTTTCCATCTTTTGAGATGATCGAATGGCTTCTCAGCTTTGATCTGTTAATGTGATAACTTATATAAATAGATTTTCAAATGCCAAACTGTTTTTTTCATTTCTAGAATAAACCAAACTTGGTTGTAATTTTTTTTTAATATATCGAAAGATTTGGTTTGCATATATATTTTCTTGGTATTTTTGCATTATGTTCATGAATGATATTGGCCTATAATTTTTATTTTCTCCTGTATTGGTATTAATGTTATAATAGTTTTATAAAATGACTTGGAAAGAAAGCTTTCCATTTATTTTAGTCCTTGGAGCAGGTTATATAAGATAGGAACAATATGTTTCACAAAAGTTTACCAGACCGCAGCGGAAAAAAAAAAAAAAAAAAGGATCTGGTAGATCTAAAAAAAAAAATTCTTTCACATATTCAAATTTCATACTTCTTGAGTCAGTTTTGGAAATTTGTATTTTTCCAGAAGATTTCCCATTTTTCCTATGTTTTAAAATCTAACAGCATTAAGTTGTTCATTTTGTGCTCTCATATTTTAAGTAACTGCTTCCGTGTGGGGGTGGGGAACCTGCAGCCTCAAGACCACATGTAGCTGTCTGGATCCCCGAGTGTGGCCCTTTTTTAATAAAAGGATTTGTTCTGTAAAATTTGAATTTAATCCAAAGGCTGAATCCACTCAAGGATCCAGAAGGCCACATGTGGCCTTGAGGCCGGCCACAGATTCACTACCCCTCAAGAAGATATTACTGCATTCTTTCAATTTTTTTCTATGTAATCTTTTCTCTCTAGTTGCTTTAATATTCTTCCTTATATTTA